AGTGGCACAAAACAATGTTCTGGGAGGTGCCCACTCTCTCTCAAGTGCTTAGAGTTCTGATGCTATGATTGGCTAGTTTGACCACCCTGCTGGGCTCAAAAGGAGGCCTCCTAGAGGCAGAACTCTCTCTGACTGTTGGTTGAGGAAGACGTGCTGCTGAAAGAGACACACGCTTCTAAGACACACATTGCTGGAAAAGAGATGCAAGAGACATGCATTGCTGAGTGAGACACTGAGGGACCAGCCCTACTGGGAAAGAGACTGTGAGAGACTGTTGGCTGAGGGATGGTGGGCTGGGAGAGAGACTGAGCATTTTTCCTGAACTTGAATTGTAGCCTGTGGTGCTTCCCTAATAAACCCCATAATCTGTGAGCTCTGCGTGGCCACTGCAGCAAATTATCAAACCCAGGAGGGAGGTGGTGGGTGCTTTGAGAGGAACGGTTGGAGAAAGGGCTGGAGGGAGACAGCATGTCTGGCCTGGCAGGATAGGCCTTGGGTTACTGCTGGTAATCCTGTCTTCCTCTTGTAGGGCTAGAGGAGGTTGGAAGATGTGGCATCCTTGTCCTTTTTGCAGGAAGACTCCCAGGATTTGCATTCACAGCCCTGTCCTCTGGGGTTCTGGAACCCCAGGAGAGCCCTGACTCATCCTTTAATTCTGGAACTTTCCCTAGCACCACCCCCATCCTCAGTCCTCTATCAGAGTGTTCCCACACATGGGAGAGGGAGTGGGAGGCCGTGAGGAAGTGTGGATGCACACGAGTACCACAGCGGGTGTGAAAAATGGATATTTGGTATTGCCACACCTGTACCCTCAATGTGGTAGCTGCACCAGAGAAAAACATGAGAAAACACCCCTCATCCCTTGAAACAGGATGCACCTGAGATAAACAGGATGCACCTGAGAAAAACACCCCTCACCCCCTGATAAACAGGATGCAACTGAGAAAAAGATATGTCCTGAGTCTCTGAAACAAAGAGAATTAAAAAAAAAAAAAAAATTTCACATGTCAGGAATTAATCCTAACCTATATAACTTGCCCCTTGGGAGAATAAGGCACTGCAGCCTAGAAGTGTGCTTCAGCTCCCTGCAATCGGCTACCCTGAATAAAACCTTTCTTTAAAAACGCAGACATTATAGTGGCTATTATTTTAATCAGAACCCATAACATTTGGGGGCTTGTCTGGGACAGCCACTGTGTCCCAGCACCTCTGCCAGGTGGTCATCCCTGGGAGAGAAAGGACTTCCAGGGGAGGCGCCCCCTGAAGAAGTTCCAGGGCCCCGGAACTCCATTCTCCCCACTGGGTGTCCATGCTGGAGATGCAGAATTCTGCTGATTCAGTGTATACCTCCAGAGGTAAGATTTGTTCTTCATTACTTGGTAACTTGGTAACTAGTCATTTGGTTTGACCAGGGAAGGGGATCTGATGCAATCAGCAACCCCCTGGTTCTTTCTCAACTGGACACAGTCTGAGAAGTTCAGTTGGTTTATGTAACTCGTATCGTCCTTGTATAGTCTCCGTGTTGTCTTGTGCAGTCACTATTTTCGTCATTTGTCTCCCTGTTATAAGTATTTTGGCTTTGTGGCCATCTCCCCAACTGACTGGCCTGTTGGACAGAAAATTCTCCTTGGATTGTGTTATTTCTTTATATGTTTCATGTTTATAGAACTGAGCTGTTACTCATAGTAAATGAGTTCTAATTCTGAAATATTGTATTGGATTGAGAGGTTTAAGCATTTCGTCCAAAGTCTCTTAGAAGATTTTGATTGGTTTTATCCAAAAACTTGGGATTTTTATGGTTTAAGTGAATGGATCATTGATTTGGCTGCTCAAGGGACCCTACAAGAGTTTACACCCTGGGAAGTGAAATTTTACTTATTTTTATTATTATTCTTACTATGGTAAATATTTAATCTGACTCTCAAATTCAGGATTAAATCCTAGGGTAAATAAATTAACACTTTAGGATTTTTAAGTTAGGGTGTTTTTTAATGTATGTGTGAATGACTATGTCTAGCTAACTGAAACCCTAAGGGGTTAAGGACTTGATTTGTTTGTGTGTAAAAAGTGTGTGTGCATGGCACCAGTGCAACAGTTTTGAGTAGATGTAAGTGTGATTGAGTGAATGTAAATGTGATTGGAAATTAAGTAACCAAGGTTTTGTACCAGAATGGGACTCCTTAACTGTATTCCAAAAAACTGAACTTTCAGAAATTAAGGAAGAGAAGTTATATCCTTCCTTAAATCTATTTTTATGTCAGGGAAAACCTTTTTTAAAATCCGTTTTTAAATCAGACTGTTTCAGCTGCAACCATGCCTGCCAGCACTTGCTCTCCTCCACTTTTTAACCCTTTCCCTCCCTCAGAAAAGCAAGTTAAATGTTTATCATCCACCGTGCCTCCTTTATCACCTATACAAACTATGGTGCAAAAGGTGAGAGCCATGGATGAGGACATTCCATTAGAATTAAAACATGTATTTCCCTTAACAGAATACATAAATCAGCAGACTAATCAACTGATGAGAGAACATAAAACATTTTATTTTACAACTCTTAAAGATTTGAAACAAGCTGCTGCTACCTATGGGCCAACAGCACCGTTTGTCAAAACCTTAATAAATACCATTGCTCAAGAAGTTTTATGTACTGATAATTGGTATATGCTGACTAAAACTGACTTAGAAGAAGGAGATAATTAATCCAGAGGCTAGGGCTTTTTGTTACACCCAACCAAAAGCCCAAGGCCATATACATAGAATGGAACGGTAATCAAGGTGAAAAGATGAACCTGCAATGTTTTTAAAGGATTTTATGTGTTTTGGATTATGTGTTTATCTGAATGTACTCCAAACTGGTTTTGAGCCAATTAAGAAAACTGTAATTGTTGAAGTAAAACATTTTGGGGTGGTGAACAAACACAAAATGACTTAGTATAATCTAAACTACTGAACAAAACCACCTTAAGAACTAAGTTGAAAGTTTTAGCATGGCCTGAAAAGCAAGAGGGAAAGTAAAAATGACTAGTAATAAATTTAAAAAAAAAAAAAAAAGATGGGGAAAAGAGAGTAGTTTTGTCTTAAAATAGAATGTCTGGTCATCTCAGAACATGAAAATAGTAAAAGTTAAACCTGAAAATGTGTAGTAAGTTGTAGAATATTTGAGGGAAAGTGAATTTTATTTGCCTTAGTTTTAATACCTGCAAATAAGTGTAAAGAAACAATGAAGTACATTGAAACTTTTATAACTTTAGATCAGTTTTGGTGGATTTATTCTTAAGACAGAAAAAGAATGGTGAATCTTTCACTGCAAAATGTTACATTGACAATATCCTTTATATTAAAATAACAGTAAAATCATAGTATTTAAGAGGGGTTAAGTAGTATGAACTAAAACCCTATGTCATGACAGGTTTCTAGCAGTGATGAGTTCAAGTAAATGTTAACTATTACATGAAATATATTTGGCCAGTGGAAATGAAAATTGGAAAAGATTGTAAATAGATCACTACAAATAACTTTTTTTTAAAAAAAAAAAAAACGAATTTTAAGGGTGTCTTTCAGGACTCTAAAGACTCTTACCTTGACTTCATTCCTCCCCATCTGCCCCTCAGAAAACGATCTCTCCAGCACACACCAAGTGGTGTAAAAATTTGGCCAGGGGTCTAGGCCAGATCTGTCAGGGCAATACCCATTACAGCACGTTTCAGCCAGTTTAGATTATGAAGGAAATCCTGGAGGTTTCATTTGGACTCATATGCCATTCATCATGGCAGATTTACATTAATATGTTATTAACTACCTTATCCCTGAAGAAAGGCAAATAGTATTAGAGAAAACTAAAACAGAAACCAACAGACTTCATAACCTAAAAACCTAGCCAGGGGCCACAGCCATCAGGAACAGATCCAGAGTGCGATACCCAGGGGACAGAGCAAGATTGACTCATATGAAAGAGTGCATTGTCAAGGACTCAAAGCATCCTGAAATATGGCACAAACTCCAAAATTAAAAGGGGAACTGTGTATGAATAATTCTCAACTTGTAAAGGTTGCCTTTAAGGGCTACAATAACTGGGACCAGGAGCAGGAGAAACAGAAGCAAAGAGACATGAAGCAACAAACTACCTTGATGGCTGCTGCCCTGGGAGACCTGCCACGAAGTCAATCCTACTGGGTAAGTCCCATGGGCCCCCAACGGATAGAAAGGGAGCGATTCAAGCTCCTGCTCCAGGAGGCCGACCAACAAAGTTGGGGCCTCAATAGTGTGCTTACTGCAAGAAGGATGGGCACTGGAAAAGGGAGTGCCCAGA